ACAGAGATCTCCCTAACTGCAAAGCCTGTGCTTGTAAATTGTATGTCCTCTGCATGTGAGCAAGGAAGAAGCTACCAGCCAATGCCCCTTGCTCCAAACAAAACCAAGAAGTCTTGCGAAACCAAATTTCTGAGAAGTCCAGAGAACACAGAGGAAAAAGAGAACTAAGAATCAAGATATTTCAGAGCACAGAGAAGTCCAGATGATCAAATACATCTTTAGTTCACTGTTCAAAATTTTAATCTACTGATGTCATTGTTTTATATTGATGGATTAAAGAAGAGAAATCATGTTTATCTCAACAGAGAAAAAAACATGCAATAAAATTCCAGATTCACTCCTGATAGACAGAGAGTAACGAAAGCCCACAAAACAGCGACAGGAGATGGAAAGCAAGAGTTCTCCTCAGTCACCTGTCAGAAACATCCTTTCCAAAGCAGCGTCAAGGATTCTTCTCTCAAAAGAAAGAAAAAAAAATCCTTTTCTTTTCTTTTTCTTTAAGATAGGGTTTCTCTGTGTAGTTTTGGTGCCTGTCCTGGATCTTGCTCTGTAATCCAGGCTGGCCTCGAACTCACAGAGATCCACCTGCCTCTGCCTCCCACGTGCTGGGATTAAAGGCATGCGCCACCACCGCTGGCGGATTCTTACCTCTTCTTCCATACACTTCTACAAACTCCCAGAACATTCCCCAGCTTCTCCTGTACTGTCTAGGCAAGACCACGTGACAGAGCTGCCATTGCAGACAGACGGCCAGAGGAGGGGCGAGTCAGGAAAAGATGAGGAGGGGCGAGTCAGGAAAAGATGCTGTGGAAATGATCCAGATGGCGAAAACTGAAGGGGGCGCAAAGTCACAGCACACACAGTACACCCAGAGGGACCTGGGCAGTATTCACCTAAGAAAGAGAACGGAGCGGGTGGCGCATGGCAGGAAACTCAGCACTTGGAGGCTGAGGCAGCCACTTGATTGAGTTCAAGACCAACCTGGGCCACACAGGAAGATTCCCTCAGAAAACAAAACAAACAAAAACAGAGAAAGGAAGGAAGGAGAAGGTGTTGGTGTAAGTTAGGGAAGGTGGGGACTTCATAATAAAGTCAGAGAAAGGAAACAAAATGGAAAAACTGTAACCCTAGATGGAAAATGATTCACTTGGCTGCACTGCAACCAAGAATTTCTACTTATCAAAAGAGAGAGAGAGATAAGAAAAATGCAAGATTCAAACTGGAAGAAAATGTAGTAACACATCTCAGTAAAAAGGAAGCTGATTCAGAATCCCTGTCAGTCCTTAAAGAAAAGACATACAAACCTGTTTTTTATTGTGGACAAAAGAAACAAACAGGTATTAGAAAATGAATGAAATAAGTATTAGAACCACAAAAAAGTCTTTTATTTATTTAACATCTAAAGTATGGTGTGTGTGTGTGTGTGTGTGTGTGTGTGTGTGTGTGTGTGTGTGTAGATGTGCCTTGGTGTGGGGTGTGGAGGTCAGTTATCCCCTTCCACCTTGTGGGTCCTTGGAATCAACCTCAGTCATTAGTCTTAGCAGAACGTGCCTTTATCCGCTGAGCAGTCTCACCAGCCTGAAGACATCTTTTTATACCAACTGGCTTGTTAGAAATTAAGAGTTTGAAGAAGAGGCAGGAAGGGTTGTGAGTTTGAGACCAGCCTGTCTCCAAAAACTGGGAGGTTAGGGGCTGGAGACCACTCGGTTGGTAGAGTGCTTGCCTAGCGAGTTGGTTAGTTTCCATGACAGAATTAGAGTCATCTGGAAAGACAAAACCTCACGAGGAGTTGCTGCCCTCACACTGCCTACAGGCAAGTCTCAGGGCCATTTTCTTGATTAATAATTGATGTGGGAAGGCCCAGCCCACTGTATTTATTTATACCACCCCCGGGCAGGATAGGATATCTTGGATGACATAAGCAAGCAAGCTGAGGAGGCTGGTTCAGTGCTTAAGAGCACTGGCTGCTCTTCCAGAGGACCGGAGTTCAATTCCCAGCACCCACATGGCAGCTCACAACCGTCTGTAACTCCAGTTCCAGAGGATCTCTTACACAGACACACATTCAGCCAAAACACCAATGCATGTAAAATAAAAATATGTCAACTAAATTTTCACAAAAAGAGAGCTGAGTAAGCCAAGGAGAGAAAACAGTAATCAGTAGAGCACGATGATTTCTTCTTCAATCCCTGCCTCCAGGTTTTAGTTTGTTAAACAACCAGACACCGACTCTTTGGCAGGCAGACCCTGGCTTTACAGGGGTGAGCTGAAGCCCTGCAGAACATTTAATCTTAACATCTCTCCTCCTCCTCAGCCTCGGGGCTAGCGCTGTACCCAGTAGGAGCACAAACTGAACTCCTAAACTGAGATAACACGGTGCAGGAGGCGGACCCTGGGCGGAAGTGAGCGGCAATGTGGCTCTTGGAGACTGAGGCTTCCCATGTCCTCCTCCCAAAAGTGGTGGCCACAAGGACCAGCATTCACAGTGAGGACGCTGTCTTCGCCGGGAAATGAAAACTGATTCCTCATTACTGAGGATTTAACCTAGAGACCTCACACATACCAGGCTAATGATCTCCCACTGAGAGGTATCCCCGGCCCTTTTCCTTTTCCTTTTGAAACAATGTCTTACTAAGTTACCTGAACCGGCTTTGAACTAGTGATCCCCTTTCCTCGGCCTCCTGCTTAGGTGGGATTTCCAGGCCCCTGCTCAGTTTTTGTTTGTTTGTTGTTTTTGTTTTTTGTTGTTGTTTGTTTGCTTGCTTTGCTTCCTTTCCTGAAGAGTTGGCCTCTTTCACTCTTTGGGTAAGCTCTTCAAGCCATGACACCCTTCTGGTGGTGAAATGCAGACACAGTACTGCCCTGAGCACAGTCCCTTCCCTTCGCTGGCCCTCAGAATACAACTCAGATTCTGACTTTCCCCATTCTGGTCTCAGAAGCGCTTTCCCCTGCACCAGCTACCCGAAGAGCCTTAGCTTTCTAGTGCCTCTTGACCACCAGGCTCCCGCTCTCCTAGGACCACTACGGAATGGGTCTGGTTGATCGTGATAAACCGAGGTGCGTTCTCTCAAGCAAGCTCAAGCACACGGGCGAGCATGTGCCACAATGCGCGCGGTGGAGGTCTGAGGACAGCCCGGAGGAGTCAGTTCTCTCCGGCGTGTCGGCCCAAGGGATCCAAGCCAGCTTGTTGAGCTTGGCTCCAAGTGTCCTCACCTGCCCAGCTGTCTCAACAGCCCCAAGTCGTCTCTGTGTTGTTGATTTTTAGCGTTCAGTGTTGCTCACCCATTGACACACGGCACGTAACTATTCCCACAGCTCTCGAGTGTTTTTGCTTACTCTGTCTGATGTCTTATGTCACTTTTAAAAAACTATGTAGTAAATATGCATTTCCCCCCCATATGGCTTTTAGATTTTATTTTTTTTTTATTTTTTTTTTTACCAACCTTCCGGCCTCTGCCATTTCACACCACACAGATTATACACATTTTTTTTTCTCTTTTCCTTGTCTTTGGTTTTTACATTTAGGCCCTTAATCTAGGTCTTCCTCCTGTTATGTGATATGGTACATATGGTTTTCTTAAATGCACAGAATCTGTTAAATAAGTGTTATTCTAACACGAACAAGTTCTTACACATACTTGGACTTTTCTAGCCTCTCCGGTCCTTCCTGTATTTGTTTTGTTTGCTGATAACTCATTTGAAACCAGGAAGGTGTGCCTTCATTTCTTTAAGGGTTTCTTGGTTATTTTGGGTATTCTTCTGCATAACAATTTTTACGATTCCCACTAAGTTTACATTGAAAATTGTGTGAAACAGATATTAATTGAAGAGGGAAAGATATGTCTATATTAATTTTTCTCTTTCAGTATCATGGTATCTCTAGTATGTTCGTGGTGGTTTGAATGAAAATGGCCCCCACAGCTCATAGGGAGTGGCACTATTGTGAGGTGTGGCCTTTGTTGGAGTGGGTGTGGCCTTGTTGGAGGTAAGTGTGTTACTGGGGGTGGGCTTTGAGCTCTCAGAAGCTCAAGCCAGACCCAGTGATCTGGGTCTGCTATTCAGCTAGAGCTATTTTCCTTATTGATTAAGATCACAGTGGTGCTGAGTTTTTTCTGGATCTTCCTCCCGCCTGGCTCCTTTCCATTCCCAACCCATACATCCAGGACGGCTAATAGATCTAACTAACCAAGAGTGTCCCAAGAGAATATCCACTATTTAATGAAAACACATCACGATTCAAGGTTTTACAAATATATATTCATTTAGAAGAAAAATGGCCGATATCTGGTAAGACAGCTTGCTTTTTAAAGGGGCCATTTATCTTAGGGTAAGCTTTGAGGTGGTGTGTACCCATTCTAGTGTCTCACTCTGTAGCCATAGAAAAATAAAGCTCAAAATGATACCCCAACCAGGAAGGTGAATATACACCGTGCTAACAGGAAGGACAATGAATCAACACCGTTTGCCAAGATTTCTCAATGAAGTGGCCAAGACCAAAAGACTCAGAACATCAGCTTTTACTCTTGTGACATAAAACTACTAAGTGTCCCATGCCATTAAATTTCATTTCAGTACGGTGTTTTCAGAATACATGCCTTTAACAATACATTCAAAGAGTAAGTAAAGGAATCACACTATACCTTTGAAATCTTGCAAAAGGTTAAAAAAGAAAATCAGCGTTATCGTTTAGAAAAGGGTGGCCTAAAAATGCAGCAGAGAAGGTGATAAACACAGAGCTCCCACCTAGGCTTGCTGATTCAGAACACGAGATTGAAGTCTGGGCAATGCTGGTCTAGATGTGAGGAGACGGCAACTTCCCTATACTACAGGTGTGAAAATGATAAATCACACACCCAAGTCCCTAGGCTGGGAATTCTGAGGTTCGTTGCCTCCTTGGGGCGAGAGTTCTTGCGGACACAAGTGAAAGAGTAAGTTCCGAGCCCATCCTCAGTCCCTGGGCTGCTTTCCTCTTTGTTCACACCTAACAGCGAGACACTGACCTGTTGAACGTAGAGTATGACGACCGTCAGTCCGACCCAGCTGTGCAGACTGTACATATGAGGGATGCTGCGGACATTATGGTAATCAAACACGGCCACTACGGAGATGATGGCGAGGACGGCAGCCACAGCATTTAAGCCCGCATGGATGGATTTCATCAGAAACTTGCTGCACTTCCAAGTCCATGGCAATCTGTACGCGATGATGGCTAAGGAAACAGCGTGTTTTACAAATCGACACCAAGTAAACCCTCTGACCCACTGGACAGCTTCCTCTGAGGGACTTTGCCCTTGGCTTCGGCTTCTCCCAGCCTTCCCTTCTCTCTGCACCTCCTCCTCAGCCTCCCATGCTGCCATTTCACTCCTGAGTGTATGCCCCAAAGACATAGATACATACGTTCACCGGCAGACACCACTGTCAGCCCACCATTTACAGTAGCCCAAATGTCTATCATCAATAGTAAGAGAGACACACTGCAGAATAATATCCACTGAAGACAGTGATGCACTTTATGTATACTGTTCAGCATATATACTAAAATTCAATAAAGAGCCTTGAAATATTTGAAGTGCCCACATTAACCAGCATACGATTAACTTTTTGTTAATTTGTCACGAAGACAACCTTGTGCCCCTCTCCACCTCTCTGATCCATGTCAGGAAAATTCTAACTATTTGGACATGTGTGACAGGTTGAAAATTCTGAAGAGCACTTCCTTGGAAGATGGACTCCACTCCACCAGTCGTGGGCCATGTCCTTTCTTACTTCCAGGAAGTAAAGAAAAGGAGACCGACACTATCAAAACCCAATATAATTGGGATATATTAAAATTTCTTAGGTTGGAGAGATGGCGCATAGTTAAGAGTCTTTATTGTTCTTGCAAAGGACTCAGGTTCAGTTCCCAGAACCCCACATGGTAGCTCGCAATCATCTGTGATACACATTTTAGTGGGTCTGACACCCTTCTTCTGACCTCCTCGGGTCAGAAGTAACAGTCACACACAGGGTCCACATACATACATACATACATACATACATACATACATACATACATACATACATACATGCAGGCAGACACTCACACACACAAATAACTCTAAAACATGTACAGGCCTTAAGGCCATAAAAACATGAAAGGAGAAAAACATCTAAAACTACAAAGATAGATGGGAATGTGACCTTGTTAAAGTTCTCATTGTAAGAGACCATGAGTCCTGCCCCGTGGTTCCATTCCAACACCCGACAGCTCCCACCAAGAGGACGGTATTTCTTTTACTTAACCCAAACTCCAAGGGATTGCTGCTTACTAGTCAATGTATTATGTGGGTACTTTATAAAAATGCTGATTGAAGGCCAATCAGACGGCTCAGCAGGGCAAAGCATTCTACCAAGCCTGATGACCCGAGTTCGATCCCCAGAACCCACAAATTGTCCTCTAATCTGGACAGCTGTGCCCTGGCACGCACACACATACACACACAGAGAGACTAAATAAATGTAATAAAAACATGTTTCTTGCTGATTGACCATATTAGGACATGGAGACCCGTTGGCTAATCATTTCTAGACTCAGTGACTCTCTTCAAGCCAGTTATCACAATACCTTAGACTTTGGCAGGTGGCTCAAGGCACTTCATCTCAGCATATCGGTGTCTTTCTATTTCTCCCTGTGTCTTAGAGCCTAACGCAGCCTCACAGTATGAAGGTCCATGAATGTTCTCCAGTCTTATTTTGAGCTAGTTGAAGTTCCTAATGTAACTGTGAGAGCTCATACAGAAAGCTCTCAACATTCTCCCTCCAGGCTCTCCAGACACCTTCTGACCTATGACATCACAAACAGGAAACTGACGTCAGCGTGACTTACTGCCCCGGTTCAGGTTGCTCCAGCTCTGCTTACCTGTGAGGGTGACCCACAACATTTTTGAAAATAAATGAACACAAATCTCTTTCAGCAGACAGACCAATGTCTAGAAACCAATTTAGTGTCAACTCAAACACCAGCTTACTCTCCTCATGCTTTTTCTCCTTTAAGGATTTAGGGGCACACCTCATATGATCATGGAGAGTAGATGCCTCTGCCCCATGACATGACTAAAAGACTTTTAATCTACAACATGAGGTCTTTTACAATCTGTGTGATCTGAGAATAGTAAAATTAGTAAAGTGAAAATGTTGTAAGATATTATTTTAGGGTGTGTTACTTTTGTTTATGTTGCATTTGTTTAAAGCTGTGTTACTGTGCCTGTCTAAAACACCTGATGGTTTAGTAAAGAGTTGAATGGTCAATAGCAAGGCAGGAGAAAGGATAGGCAGAGCTGGCAGGCAGAGGGAATATATAGAAGGAGAAATCTGGGAGGAGAGAAGTAGCCAGAGAAGGAAGAGGACATCAGGGGCCAGCCACCCAGCTACACAGCCAGCCACAAAGTAAGAGTGAAAGTAAAGATTACAGAAGTAAGAAAAGGAAAAAGCCCAGAGGCAAAAGGTAGAAGGGATAATTAAAGTTAAGAAAAGCTGGCTAAGGGCTAGAGAGATGGCTCAGAGTTTAAGAGTACTGATTGCTCTTCCAGAGGTCCTGAGTTCAATTCCCAGCAACCACATGGTGGCTAACAACTATCTGTAATGAGATCTGGTGCCCTCTTCTGGTTTGCAGGCATACATGCTGTATACATAATAAATAAATAAATATTTACAAAAAAAAGAAAAGAAAAGAAAACCTGGCTAGAAACAAGCCAAGCTAAGGCCAAGCATTTATAATAAAGACTAAGCCTCCATATGTGAGTTGTTTGGGAGCTGGGTGGCGGGCCCTCCAAAAGGGCAAAAACAAACAACAACATGAAAATATACAATATAGAAAGACATAAAATAACCGGAGATAGAACTCAGTGGTGGAGTTATCAGGGCCTAGCCGGTACAAGGCCCTGGATTTTATTTCCAGTAATAGAGATGGGGGAGAGGGGGAGAATTACACTTTCATTCCCTGGTTTAATGTCATTTCACACACACACACACACACACACACACACACACACACACACACACACACACATACACACACAAAGACAACTGAACTTCCAGTGAAGCATTTTATGCTTCCCAGTACTAGAGGCAACACAGAGGAATGCTCCGAACATCACAGAAGCCATTTGCATTCGTGCAAATGTGTGTTTGTTCTGTGGGTTATTATTTTGTTTAGAGCAGGAGCTCACTATTATGACCCAGGCTGCTTTTGAACTCCTGACCTCAAGGGATGCTCCTACTTCAGCTCTCGGGTGGCCAGCAGTTTTAGATGGCTGCACACGAATGCTCTTTCTCCAGCAGTGGCAGCGACCGAGCATATTTAACCCTTCACTGATGGCTGTGGCATTCGCAAAGCTCTGGTTATTTTCTGAGGGGAAGGCCAGGAGGCAGTCCTGAAGTGGAATATGTGCTTTGCCAATTACCCAAATGGACCCTGACAATTACAATTTTAGAGTCTTTGGGCTACTTTTCTGTTCCTTCTATTGCTTCCTCTCAGGTTAGGATTCTCATTAGCTCTAAGTTCTAGCTTAATTTTCTTCATGTTGTCCCTAATCTTAACATTTGTTATCTGTGTGGTCAGGGCACGGGGACTTTTTTTGTGTTACTTTCTGTGTGGGTAAAAGGATTCCTTATTGTTTTAACAGTAAAACGTGTGTTTTTATAAGCCTGTGAACCCAGTAGCCAGCTAGGCCCCACTCTTCACAGGAGCTGTGGCGATGTGAAGCCTTCCTGTAAAGTACTCCAGGGGTTTTCCACATCTTTCCAGGCAGTCCAGAAGCTCTGCTGCATGGCTGAGTGTGTTCAGAAGGCTCTCTGGACAAGGGAAGTGTGGCTGGAAATAATGTATTTTCAAATGCTGTTTACGCAGTTCCCCAGACATATAAATATCCAAAACACTATGCGTTTAAGAAAAACTGGGTGAGCTTAACAAATCAGACCACATTTTTTTTTCTTAAATAAGAAGCTACTCCTGGCAGCTGTAAAACTGCCTAGAGCGGAGAGTACCAGCTCCCGCTCTCCTCGCCAGCCTAGGCTCTGTTCCTGCGGTTCGGTGAGAAGGAAGGAGAGAGCAGCAGTGTGTGAGGAAAACAACCGTTCTGCTGGGGGGCTCTGACCCAAAGGACCATTCCCTCCAGGAGATGAGGGGAAACATGAAATGCGTGAGGAAGACACTGTCAGTGCCTTCAGAAGGGAAGCAGTGAGTGGTGGAGCACACACTGTAAAATCGTTAAGAAAGCCGGGCAGTGGTGGCGCACGCCTTTAATCCCAGCACTCGGGAGGCAGAGCCAGGAGGATCTCTGTGAGTTCGAGGCCAGCCTGGGCTATCAAGTGAGTCCCAGGAAAGGCGCAAAGCTACGCAGAGAAACCCTACCTCGAAAAAAAAAAAAAAAAAAAAAAAAAATCGTTAAGAAGAAGGGGGCGGGGGGTGGGGGGGGGAGCTCACAACTGCATGTCACTTTTCTCAAGTCTATCAAGATGGAAATAGAGTCCAATTATTAGAACATTTATCAGAGCCCAGCTGCATAATCAAAATTCAGGGATATAAGAAAAGATACATTCTCTAGGAGGTGGTCTCCGGATTGACACCAGCTTTCTTCCCATCTGCGTATGCAAGTGTGTGTCACATGTAAAGACTGAGTCTGTCAAACGGAGATCAGGTCAAGGTGAGGACTTAGGGGGCAGATATGCCCCCAGATATAGAAAACACCTGACCATAGTTCCTCTATGCTTGAACCTTGTGAGTTATGAAGGAAGAAGCATGTCTATAAACATCTTGTGCCTGTCACATATTGGGAAGTCACAAAGTATCTATGAAAAAAATTTTTTTAATGAAGGAGCAATTAATTCTGCATTCTCAGCACATAAATAGATTCTCGTGCTTGTTTTGTTTTTCAATTTTATTTGTTTATTTGTTTGTTTGTTTACTTTTGGTTTTTTGAGACAGGGTTTCTCTGTGTAGCCCTGGCTGTCCTGGAACTGACTCCGTAGACCAGTCTGGCCTTGAACTCAGAGAGATCCTCCTGCCTCTGCGTCCCAAGTGCTAGGATTAAAGGCGTGTGCCACCACCGCCTGTCTCTTTAATTGTAGGTTTGAAAAGTAAGATATAACTGGATACGATGGCTCCCACCTATATTCCCAGCACTGAGAGGTTAAGGCAGGAGGATTACTGTTAGTGCTAGGCTAGCCTGG